GTTGTTCCAGCTTGCGGGACTGGCCTAGGGGAATTTTTAGAGGGGGTTTTAAATTTATCTTAATTGGATCAAATTCAAATATTTCCCTTTTAATTAATTTTAACCTGTAATGTTATTTTTGTATTTTTATCTGATTGTTAGCCGCCCTGAGTCCGCAAGGAGAAGGGCGGGATATAAATTTAATTAATAAATAAATAAATAAATAAATTCTTGATTTTCAACAATAATCAAAATAGCAAACATCAAACAATATGTTTTAAGCAAGTAGGGCCCCAAACAAAAATCAGTGTTGTGGAGTGCAGTTGTTCATTGTTAATCAGCCAGCTAAGCTGAGCTCTATAGTTTCCTCTTTGGTTTCCTGACAATCTGGTTTTCTGGCTTTATTCAGTGTTTCATGACTATAGAACTTGTTTTCTCCCCACTGGACTTTTTTTTTTTCAGTTTGGCTTCTGTAGACTTTGGTATTCCCCCAAGCCTAGCAATGCCTCCATTTTGTACATAGAAAATACCATTTGGCCAGACAGAAACAGCAGTCAGACCTGAAACATGAAATAGGGGGGGGGGGGGAGGAAGTACTTAGAAGGAGAGAGTTGTGGTGCTCAGTGTTACCTCAAAACACTTTACTATTTGAGGCAAAGGACAAGATGACTCAGCCAGATTGATAGTTGAATGCTACTTCCCTTTTATCTTCCACTGTATTTTAGAAAAAAATTAAAGGGCTATGGGGCTTTTTTTATAGTGATTTTTTTTACATGACCATCTACTTCATGCAGTAATGGAATACTAACTGATAGTTACATGCTGATAAAAACACCAATATAAAATTATCAAAGAGTCTTCAGTGTGTAAAGCAGGCCTTTCTGAAAACAATCCAAAGGCACATCTAGTCTAGCATCCAGTTTCTGAGAAGAAAGCTGAAATACTAGAGAAGAAAATCTCCATATTGTTGCCCTGTTCCTCAGGAATTCGCATTCAAACTTATATACCCTTTTCATATTTAAAGATTCTTTTTATTTCTCTTGATTGAATAGACTTGTTCTTAAATGTGTCCCTCTGAAAGTGATCTAACCCTTGTCAAGGATCTGTTTCTAGATAGATGAAATAGAATTGACTTTCAGCATTTCTGAAATTAACTGCTAGTCACTTTAATTAGGTAATCTTTAAGTGCTGATATTGGAAAGACTGTACGTTTGCATATATCATTCTATCTTTTGTCATCAAGTCATGTTATGCAAAACACAGAAAATGAGTAAGAAACAGTACAAGAGAGAAAAAGAAAGAAAAAAGAACATTAAAAAGTACATTATCACCAACTACACCTCTTCAAATTCTGCCAAACATCTTTCCAGTAGATTAATCCTTCTGTACTTTTTATATTCACTGTTGCTTCCTATCCTTCTGTAGAGGACAATAAAAGCATTTTTCAGCTGTCGGGCACAGATAGAGTCATCACACATTAAATAAGCTGTACTCCACATCCATATTTTAGTACTTTTCCAATTACATCTGCAGCCTTTTTCAGTCTTCTCACAGTACAGTACAAAGGATTTCTTATGCATCGGTTTTGCTTGGATGCTAATATTTATAGAATTTGTAACAATTCCGTTATTCAACATATAATCTTCCATAGAAAATTTTGAATACTATTTCCAGCATTGCCTTCCTTCAGTCTTAACCCAAATTGTTTTATTTTTAATTTTTAATTTCAGTCACTACTATAATCACTCAGTACAGTGTGTATGTTATAAATGTTATAAGTTATCAATGGCTTCCATAAGTTATTTATGTTATTTCAAATCACTTGAAATAATAAATTACTGTATCAAAAGCACTGCGTTTTCTCTGTCTCTTAATTTTAACTATACTCCCTTTAAACACATCATACATATTATATAATCTTCCTAATTTTTATAGCTGTTTTAAATGTATTTTTCTCTCATCTGCTGATACAGACCTCCATTGCCTATCATGGCTTTACCCAATTAAGACTTTCATATAAAATGTTTGAGTGGGATAGGGAATGTGTAAAGTAGGTTACCAGTCTTATGCATGTGTCATTTATAGCATTCCCTGCTAATAAGGCTGGTACTGGTTAGTTTGGTCATCTTTTGCCACAAGTAGAACCAAAATTTAGTTTTAATTTAAGTGTAATCATACTATGCTGGGAAAGTTTGGTCCCTCCAATATAAAGACTTCCTTTAATGCCAACACAGTTGCCTGTATCCCACTAACCAGGAGGTACATGTGGTGTATAAATACACCCAGGATATTTGGAAATGATTTATCATCAAGTATGAAACCAGGAAGACAAGTTATATTTTGATTTTAAAGTTGATGGACCTCCAGTTAAATTGAGCTGTGTAATTAAAGGGATCTATGAAATAAAACAAGGTGACTAACTGATATGGGCAATTCTGTCATGGTGGTCTGAGGAAGCTCCAGGACTAAAAAGGGGGCCTGGGATCTGTAAACAACCTTGGAGTTTGACCTGTTGAGTAATTTTCCTCAACTTGATGCTATCCAGATGGCACCAGGATCATAGCTGTTGTCCTCCAGGCTTGTTATAGTTATGCAAGCCATAAATAACTTAACGGAGCCATTGGTAACTTATAACATCTTTATCACATAGCCATTTGACAATTTTAATAATAATTGTATTAGGTTTATCAAGATATAAAATACAAAAGAAAGGGAAAAGAGTGGGAAAATGAGGGAGGGAAAAGGGAAGAGAAAGAAGTGTAGGGTGAAGGGGGAAAAAGAAAAGAAAAACATTAATTTCCAACTCTTTAGCACAGTAGAATAAGATAGTGACATTACAGCCTCAATTTCTTCCTTTAAATACTGATATGTACTAGCCATTTCTATAATAGCAAACTTATCTAATTAGAAAACCCCCAAAGTCAAAGTTTCATTTTTTTTCCATGTCGAGCACAAAATTTTTAAGTGGTTTACAAGTAAGCCATTTGAGAATTTTGTTTGTTATAATCCCAATTTATCTGGAGGTCGTCAGATTGGGAAAAACCTGGATAACGATCTGTAAGATGTTTGCAGGAATCTGTTGAATTGTATGAAGTGATTTGAAAAGAAAGGTAACTCTAATAGTCAATAAACACTGGTGTCTATTGAATGTTTAGATAAAATGGCAGTAGTTTAAAAAACTTTTTACCTCTTCTGATAATATCCAATAACAACTAATAGTCACTCAAAGCCATTGAGAGTCAGGCAGCATGCAAGTTTAATATATTATTATTATTATTATACCTAAATGTCTATGGAGATTCTCAGTCATCCAGGTCATAGTTATCCCAAAGGTGCTTTTTTTTGGTGGTGGTTTTGGTAGAAAGTGTTTTTCTTCCAACAGAGCTGAAGAAGCTTCTTGGATGAGAAACGAAACGTCTTCAAAGAAAAACAAGAAAGTCCAGTTACCTCGTGAAAAAGCACCTTTGGGATATTATTATTATGGTTGTATGGACATTTAGCCAAATGTTTAAATTGGATTTGGCATTTTTATCTAGTTATTGAGTCCTTCCCAAGGACTTGAGATAGGCCGATGTTATTGTTTAATAATATTAAAAGTATTGTCCCATGGTGTAAGCTGTTCCAAGGAAAACTTTTGAAATTGACTAATGCTGATTTTGTCAGTGCCGATGGTGTTCTGGTGCTCCAGATCTGAAATTACACCCAAGGCACCTATCACGATTGGTACTATCTTTGCTTTCTTTGGCCAGTTATTCTACTGCTATTTGCAAGTCTTTGTGTTTTGTGATTTTTCTCCAGTTCCTTCTCTATTTTGTTGTCTCCAGGTTTTGCAATGTATTTTATTATTATCTTCATCATAATCATCCGAGGATTTATACACAGAGATGGGGAACCTTGTTCCTCTGAAAATTTCTTGACACAGAAACAACCCTCTGTGGCCATTGTTGATAGAGGGCAAAACCACAGTTATAAATAGGCAGAGTCTGCAAAATTATTCCGCTCTCCTTCCTCTTTGCTATTCCATTGCATTTGAACCCATTTATCTCTTGCAGAAACATATGCAAGCACAGGATAGAAGTGAAAGTAATTCCCAATGGGTCTGTACTTTTCAAGCAGCAGAATAATGCTAAGGGCTATGGGAAATGAAATAAGAATGATTGCATGTGATTTTTGGGTTGCATATTAGCATTCTTCCTTCCTTTCTACTAGGATTATGATGGCCTTGCTGTCAGACTCAAGTTATTCACTATTTCTGTGGGATCTCCTACAGCTTCTGGAAGGGGGAATATTGTCTTTTCCAATAGCCTGAGTGAATAACAAATAATAGTTTCAAAGTTGAAGGAATTAAAATATAGAACCCTGGTGGGTTTTGCTTGGTTTCCTCTGACCTTTCCAATCTCTCACATTTTAGTTAAATCTGTCCTCCTTTTTTGATAGGCTGTGGAGCTGCCAGACTCCTTTTCACCTGAGCTACGTTCTTTGCTGGAGGGACTGTTACAGAGAGATGTCAACCGTCGGCTGGGCTGCATGGGTCGTGGGTGAGTGTCCTGCCAAGATGCCGAAGGACTTATGGGAGATGTAGAGGAATGTCAGAATGGGCCGGAGTTTTAAGGTTACTCATCCATGTTCAGTTATTGAAAAAGTTCTACTTAGAATAGAGTTGGGTTTTGGAACTCAAGTGAGAACAATTCATTCACTTTTTATTTAAGAAAAAAAAAACCTGCAAAGAATGTATTCTTTTCATACCCTTGGCTTATCAAAACATATTTCCTGAATCTATTACTGAAGAGACAATATGAGCAAAACTTCAAAACTTGGAAGTTAATGTTAATAGAACCAGCTTCATTAAAAAAAACATTCCTCAGTATGTGACTGCTGCCTTGGTTTTCAAGGCTGCCAATTTTCACCATTCCTCAGTTACAAATTCAAGCCACGATCTGATAAATCAGTGTAGATGACCTTGTGGCATGGGTGTACCAGGAAAATGCATCAGTGTTATGTAAACACCAGAAATATTGTTTTCGTATAAGTAAGGCTTTTATTTTCATGATTTTCTGATTAGCACTGAATATACATCAGGTTGAAATCAAAAAAAATTTCAGAACAATAGCTAATTTGAAAACATTAAGTGCTATTGCTCTTAAAAACATTTTTCCCGAGGAAGAAAAATCAACCAGCAAATTTGTTTTTTGCATTTTACCGTATTATGGGTTCATTTACCATTTCATAAAATAATGCATTATTCAATTTATTTCTTTTCTTCTCTAACCACTATAAGATACAATGTAATCTCTGGATAAATGCATCTAGCCCTATATATATATATATATATGATTAGGAAGCTTGCCTATATAGCTACCTGTCTCTGCGCCCGGCTTCTCAAGCGCGTAATCGGCCCATTAGTTGTATTAATCTGCAACGTAATCGCTCCAAAATGAGGGGGGGAGAGAGATAGGGGGCAGAGACAGCTTGACAGCCGTCCCCCAGGCGCTCGCACGCGCATTAGAAAAGTAATGGAGGATCTGGGCAGAACCACCGGGTCCACCAACAGGCTGCCGGATGTGAATCAACTTAGCACGTTGCAGATTAATACAACTAATGGGCCGATTACGCGCTCGAGAAGCCGGGCGCAGAGACAGGTAGCTACATAGGCAAGCTTCCTAATCACCTAGCATTCCAACCCTGATGACGTCGGCAGTCGGGCCGATGAAAGCTTGGTAACTCTTTTACTTACAAACTTGTTTGTATTAAACAGGTTTGTTTTATTTTTATCCTGGTGTTCGTTTTTTCTATATCCTATCCTATCCTATCCTATCCCATCCCATATATTGTTGCTTAAATGTATACCCTGCTAATAATTTCTGTGATCTGATCGTTCAGATTTTGGAACAATAAATGTTGCCATATACTATGCAAATTTAGAATTGTATAATTTTCATAATTTATCTTGTATTTTTATTTGGGGGGGGGGGCTCCTTTGCATTTGCTATTCATTGGAAAGAAAAAGAGCCCACAGAAAATTAGTTTCACTTCACTCCCTCTAACCTCCAAAACCATTCAAAATCTTATTCAAATACTTCTCTAGTTTCTGAGATTTTAAGCAGTATTATTTTTAAGTTTCAAACTGGAGGAGAAGCATATTTTTAATAGAAAAATAACAGCACTAGATTTAAAGTTCATGGAATAGGTTTTGCACAGTGATTTGTGCTGTTTCTGCACATGTGAAGAATTTTTAGTTTTGTAACTGCAGCAATAGACACACGTACTTTTCTGAGCAAATCAGGCATTCCAGTAGAAGATAATAGTCCGCAGATGTTGATGTAGTTAGGTTTATCTGAATTCCCCGAAGGTTTAAATTAAAAATTGAAATTCCACAATAATGGCATTCCACATTGATTATAAAAATACATAAGCATGATAAGTTATATTTGCTGTTCATAAAGATCATCGTAGCTCCAATTTTTTATCCCCTGCCTTCTAGTTCCAGCTATTGCAAAGTCAAAGATGAAGTCACTATTATCTCTTCTATATTTTCATTTAGATCGCTTGAAATAAAGGAGAATCCATTTTTCCAGGGTGTGGACTGGCAGATGGTTTTTCTCCAGAAGGTGAGGAGAGCCCTAGTTGAAAGGCCAATGGGAAAGAAAATAACACATATTTGGGCATTATGATGGGGGGGGGGGGGGAAATAAATAGGTACGGCATTTTGCTCTTTGCTAACTTTATTTCATCATATCTTTGTAGTATCCTCCACCCTTGATTCCACCACGTGGGGAGGTAAATGCAGCAGATGCTTTTGACATTGGCTCATTTGATGAAGAAGACACCAAAGGAATTAAGGTACACAAGGAGAATCTCCCAGAATTATGGTGTCCTCTGCTGAGTAGCTGCAGTTTTCTTTTATGTTATGGGAATTTCTATTTTAAAATTGATATCCCATTTTTCTTCCAAAAAAAACCAAAACTTCAAACAGGTTGTACTTACATATAGTAGAAAGAGCCAGGCAGTAGAAGATGAAATTGCACAAGAGACGGGAATTCTGTGTTTTGCCACCAGGAAATAACAGTGCCGACCAGCCTTCTCCTTCTAGTGATTACATAGGAATTCTGATTAGGTTGAAGGCTGGTGCTGAGAAAGGGCTGGCACAGAGTAACTTGTGGAATCAGGTCATTTTGCTTCAACCTCTGTGTCTAGTATTAACCAGAGTTCCCTGGAAGCTTAGAAGCAGAACACAATATTTATAGTTCTCCTTTTGTTTGCTTCCACCACTTGCAATTGCAACTGTCGTGCATCCATGATAAGTTGAAGAACTGTTTGTTATATTTGTTTAATACCTTGTTGCATCAATGCCTTGTTGATTCAGCCGGTATCTCATTTTTGAAAATTAAAAAGGCTCTGAGAAAGGATACAGTAGAATTGAGAGAGGGGAGGAAAACAAGGTACCTGCTCTTCCAGATTGTCAATGGACACAAATTATATTACTTGCATAACAAAATCATCACACGAGTGATAATTTTGTCCATTGCATACAAAGTCCATATTATCAAGACCCAATAAATCAAGGTTTTACTCTATTACTCAGTGTGGTTTCTTACTTATGGAAGACATATCTTAGAAGAAAACTACATAGATTTTTTTTTCTTCAATTCAGGGTCTTCCAATTAAGAGCGATGTGTGACTAATTTTTGTCTGTTATTGGACAACGATTATCAGATAATAAAAGCAGTGAAGTTCAGGAACTAATACATACTTTCTGAATCTTCTGGCTTGGAATGATGCGCACATAGGGTAATGTTAAGAATTGTCATGCTAGCAAATAGCCCATGAGTTTAGCACTTCACAGCCAGACAGATGCCTTAGGAAATAGTGCTAGTCAACCTCTGAACAGGTGACATGGTAATTAATTGAAATTTGTGCAGACATTTGTGAAGGAATATGTTCCTAATTGGGAAAAGATCTGAGGAAATTAAAATGTAGTAGAAAGGATGATATCTGAAATATCTACAAGGAACTGTGCAAGCTGTGAATGCTAATAGAAGGGACAGAGCTGGAGCAAATAATACTGTCAAGGAGAAAACCATAAGCCTTATTCCAGAAGTCCAAACAGAACATTTAAGCAGAATGCTGTTGAAACTGACTGAAAACTGTTGTGGGAAATCCAGAAGTAGGTAGCCTCTTGTGCTGCCGTTTCAGCAGCTGATACCCAGAGGAATGCTTTCCTCTGATCCTGGAGACATAGTGACATAACTTGCTTCTACTCCCAGCTATTGGATAGTGACCAGGAGCTGTATCGCAACTTTCCGCTCACCATCTCAGAGCGCTGGCAGCAGGAGGTGACGGAGACTGTATTTGATACAGTCAATGCTGAGACTGACAAGCTGGAGGCCCGCAAAAGAGCAAAGAACAAGCAGTTGGGCCATGAGGAAGGTGAGCCTCATTGCTGTTCTATACAAGAAACCCTTTTGCCAAAACTCAGATTTAATCTGCAAGAATTTGCTTATGGAAACTTGGGTGTTTCTTTCCTGTTTTTAGTGTGGGAAGGCTGTCTGGATTTATTGGCACTAGTCCTATTCTTCTCCCTATAACACCCCACCTTTTCGTTAGCCTTCATATTATCTTCACTTATTCTGTACAGATTATGCCTTGGGCAAAGACTGCATCATGCATGGCTATATGTCAAAACTGGGGAACCCTTTCCTTACTCAGTGGCAGAGGCGATACTTCTACCTCTTCCCAAATCGTTTGGAATGGCGTGGAGAGGGAGAATCTCCGGTAAGGAACAAGCTCTCCTTCAGTGGGTGGGAAAGACAGAATATCAGATTTAAGGTTGTATGAAGACTTGCCATACATGATTGGAAGAATTCATTTGTGTGTGTTTAGGGAAATATAGCACACAGAGGTAATGTTTGTGTGTGTTTAAGGCCATAGCACGGTACTAGGAGAAGAAGGGCACTCTGTAGATGTTGGTAAAAGATGCAGCCTGAATATTTAAGATATATGTTGGAAATTGTATTCATTAATCAAATATTTGTTGGGGGGGGACATTATAGCAGTCCCTGCTCACTATGGAAGAGATCCAGTCAGTGGAGGAGACACAGATAAAAGATCGAAAATGCATTCTGCTTAAGATCCGGGGAGGCAAGCAATTTGTTTTGCAGTGTGATGTAAGTTGTTTTGTTTTGATTTTCCCCTCTCATACAATCTCTCCTAAGAACCTTTCTTGGTGATCTATTTAATCTTTTCTGAAGTTAAACTTTGGTATCTGTCTAAGCCAGATGTTAATTTTCTATTCCTTGCAAAATAGAAAAAGAGCAAAACTAAGCAATTTGAAATTCTCTTGCATCCTGCTCTTCCTATTCCACTCTAGGCTAATCTTTGTTCCTTCTTAAAAATTGTGGTTCTTTAAAATCCCCATTATTTGCTGCCTTAGAGACTTAAGGCAGGAACTCTTCTTAGTTTATGGAAAAAGTTATTTGAGCAGTGAATCCTTTTAGTGGTCACGTATGCCTGGCAAATGCTTTTCAGAATAATCTGTGCCTATTAAAAGTTTTCAAGTAGATGCTTTAAATGCATTTGCACAATTGTTGTCCAGTTCATAAATCCAGAGGATCAGAAGCAGCTTCTATTTCAATTTTGGGAGGCAATAAGTTGTACCGTAGCTATTCCCCAGTCACTGAAAGCCACATTTACATTCTCTCTAGAGAAACACAAGCTAGGGAAACAAAGCTAAACAATTCTATCTCGTTGCTTTCTGTGGATATCTAGAGGGAGTTTATCTTGCTAAATAACGTCCCAGATGTTTGTAACCAAAATGATTTTGTAATTTGCAGATTCCATACACTACAGAGTGTGTGGGCATTAAAAAGCATTCAGGGCAAATAATAAGTGGATCCTCAGGGGCCAGAGCTATGCTGATAGGGTCAGATTAAGATTCTCTCTCTCCGGTTGCTCTCGTCTGCTGGGAGAAAACACTGGTGCTAATAGCTGGCATAGAAACATGGTGCTAAGCACTAAGGGAATCCCTGGAAACTTTAATCGTTTATATCTAAATTTTAAAAGGATAGACAAATTTTCTGATTTGGGTCAGCAGCTCAAGAATCTTAATGCATGTTAAAGGGTAATTTTTTTTGTGAGTTCAGCTTAAATGGATTATAAGTGGTATTGGAATCTAAGCACTGTTCATATTTGATGGAAGTTGCAGTCTAAAATATCTAGTGAACATATTGCCGACTTCTTTACAAGCAAAGATTCTTTAAGGAGACCAACCTATTTGTAATAAGGGCTCTGGATCAGAGTGTCACCAAAGGGCAGTGGTGGCGAACCTATGGCACGCGTGCCAGAGGCGGCACTCAGAGCCCTCTCTATGGGCATGCGCGCCGTTGTCCCAGCAGAGTTCGCCAGAGTAGCAAGCACGTGGCGTTTGGAAGCGACAGGGCAGGAAGTGAATGAGCAAGCGGCGTTGGCCCCCCGGGGATGCCCCAGAGATGGCGAGGGACTGGCCCCCGCCACGCTCACCCAGTCTGCCGTGACCACTGCAGCCATGCTACCCAGTGGGCCACGCCCCCACGCCTCCCCTGAGGGCACCACAATGCTGATGCAGCCCTGGCATTTTGCGATAAATAAGTGGGTTTTGGGTTGCAGTTTGGGCACTCGGTCTCTAAAAGGTTCGCCATCACTGCCATAGGGACAAAGTCTTGCTTACAGGGTGAAGAATAAGACTGACGATGAAATGTAATTTCTCTCTCCCTCCCTTAGTGAAATAATTGCTATTGTTTTGGAATATCTTTCTCGTGCTTCTCTGTTAATACGTCTTCTTTTTCTCTCAGAGTGATCCTGAGTTGGTGCAATGGAAGAAGGAGCTGCGTGATGCCTATCAAGAAGCTCAACAGCTGCTGCAGAGGGTACCCAAAATGAAACATAAGCCACGCTCTCCAGTGGTAGAGCTAAGCAAGGTCCCACTGATTCAGCGCAGCAGCAGTAGTACCAATGGCCTCTGACCTTCCTTGACACCGTTTCCCATCCTTAATTTATTCAGCTGGATTTGCCCACCATTCCTACCCATTCTCCTGTCTCTTCTTGCTGATCATTGTGACGTCCACCCAACCCCCAGGGATATAATGAGGGGGTGGGGTATTCAGAAATCATGGGACAGGTTCCCTCCTCCCCTATCCCCTCTGCACATGGGGATCAATACCCATTCCAGGGGTAGGAGTCTGATAAGGTGGATAAGAGTCAACTCATTCCTTAATGAACAAGGCTGAAATTAAGGCCTTGCCCCTAAATAGGACCAACAGAAGGAAATGTGAAGTGTGCCAGGCATCTTGAGCAGTTCCTTCCTACTTTCTCAACTGTGGTGCCAGATGTGTGTCAAAGTATACATGAGGAATACCACAGATCCTGCCTAGCTTGGGCCTTGTTGACATGGCATTTTGGGAATGTACATTGTCTTAAAATAAGTCCTCTTAACGCTAGCAGAGATGAGGAGAAATTCCGCAAGACAATCTGAAATTCAGACCCATTACCTTCCCATACCAAGCTCCGACAAGGGTTCTATGGCAGATCCTGAAGAAATCTATTCTAGTTCTTGCCAGAGAGATTTGAAGGATGCATTTTCAATGCATTTCCGAAAAGTGTTGGGTAGGTGGCCATTGCTAAGCATAAGCATCTCTTTCAGGATTGGCTGGGGTTCCACTCCAGGCTGGGAATGAGGTCTGGCCTTTAAACAATTACACAGTAATAGAAATTCCTAATAAAATCTAGTCCTGTTCTTTCCCAGTGTTCTGTCCAGGTCCTTAACCCTTATTATTATCTTCTCGTCCTATTGTTCGCCATTCCAAAATCTGATATTTCCAACCCAGGACAGCAGCTGCTTCTTCAGCAGCAGCCTTAGGAACTGAAATCCTTCGCTATTCCAGGCCTGAACAGGCATTCTCAATCAACAGTGCCAAATTTCAAGTGGTCTTGTGCCTGTTTCTGTTAGCCTAGCGAAGATGAAGTTGTGCTCCCTGTGACCCCAACGACAGATCTCTTGCCCAGAATATATTAAGAGCCTCCAACTCTTTTCTCTGAAGTCAGGTGAGAATTGCCCCTATTTCTGCTGTCTCCACTGTCAAAGGCTAGGCTGCTTTGCTGTGGGCAGAGGCAGGGGCAGCGGGTTTCATGCCAAAAGTGATTTGGAGCTGCCTGAGCCTCATTTCGGGGCCTCTTGAGGCTGGAGCTGGACTGCAGTAGCTGAAAACAGCCTGATCAAGGCTTCGTGCCAACTCCCAAGTGTCTGAAGGATTCTGTAAATAAATTTGTGCCAAGGGGCCAGGTTGGGTTTGAAAAGCTAAGCCTGCTCGTCTCCTCCCTCCCAGTATGCCTTGTATAAAACAGTGTTCCCTTTCAAGCCCCCACCCACCCACCCACCCAAGCGTTATGATTTCTCCCACAGGATGGTGAGAAATCTCAGGTTGAATCTCCCCCGTGTCCTTCCTCCTCCTCCTTTCATTTGCAATTAATGGGGGTTGGGGTGGACGGCTTTCAGTTGGGGGTCAGGTCTCATGCCCCAAGCGCATGCAATTGCCTCTGCTGCATGTCCCCTTCCCCCCCCCCCATGTGATGAATTTTGCCTGTTCTGCCATCTGATTTTCCCCCCTTCCTTCCAAGAAGAGGTGGAATAAAACCCCTGTCCCTGCAGTGTCTGTAAATATTGATCTCTGGTTTGTTTCTCTGGGTTATTATTATGGATTTTTTGCCGATTTTTGAATGTGATTTTAATGAGTGGGATAAATACTGTTTTTATAATAAAAAATCCAAAACCCACAAGTGCATACTTATGAATTCTTCTGTGGCTTCTACTGCCGGAATGATAAAAACGGGTCACCAGCACTGACCATATGGATACACATGTTTGGGGTTTGCAGTACCGTAAGTAAGCAAACCTCTCTTCAGAGGACAATTTGCTGGTAGGGACAGCAATAACCGTCCCATGTTTTTATCTTGAGCTTGTCTAAAGAATATGTTTTATCTTCTTATTACAGATGCTGCTGAGAGAAGCTTTATTTTTTACTGCCTCTAACCCTACAGGCTTCTTTCCTACTAGACAGGAAGGGAGGCCTTCAAGCTAGTGTAGAAAATGGGAGATGATACCCCTTTTTGGAATATTAATTAAGGTAATAATTTCTCATCCCTGTAATCAAAAGACTGGTGGCCTATTTGCTTCAGTATTTTAAGAAGCAGTGGCCTTAACACCCAACTAGATAACAGTTGGGAAAAAAATACCTTAGAAAAAGGCAGTGGCGAGCCATTTTTATATCATGCAAGAAAATCTGCATGGATATGTTCATATAAATATACCAGGAATGCCCCAGCAAGTAGCAGCGTAGTTGTTTATTTGTTTACTTATTTATATTATTTGATATATGTAGCCACCTATCTCAAATATGTGGTTCTAAGGGGTTTCCAATAAAATACCAGCCCATTGTATTTTAGCTATGTAGCTTTGATCAGCTCTTGGATGGAAGATCCTAAGAATTTCAGGATTATGCTGGGAAGACCAGCCCCTCCAAGGCAAAGGACTTCTATAACATTGCTGAGAAAACTAGACACAATGACATCTTTATATATTAATTTGGCATTACAGTTATAGCAGTCAATAAGCTGGTTTACCCAGTATACTTGGCCACAATGTGGTTTGTTGGATTTTGACATAGTGTGTGTGAACTAGACCAGGGGGTCCCCAATTCCTGGGCTGCAGCCCACTACTGGGCCTTGAACGTTCAGAGCAGGCAGCAGAAGTGGTGGGCGAGCACATGCCCATCCTTGCTTGCGTGAGCAGTGGGAAAGCGCATGCGCACACACTACATTTATGTGAATGTACAAATGGAGCTGCATGTGCGCTAGCCCACCATTCACTCAGAACCATCCCCTCTTCCTCCAGCTGATCTGCCAAGCCAGAAAGGTTGGGGAACTCTAAACTAGACCACTGTAATTGGAGAAAACAAGTTTTGGTTTAGCAAAATTTGTAACTTCAGTTAATAACATTTGGGAGGAAAAAGTACGCCACTTTTGTTTTTATAAATCCTAGGTGCATATGCTCTCCCTATAAGAATACATAAATCCTTCATTCATCCTTAAATACATCAATTCTGTCCTCAGTTCCACCCAGCTAACACTATCAGCATCTAATAATGCCAACTACATACTGGGAGTTCATTTGCCTGCTTATATAAATCGCCAGCCAGATATTGAAATCATTGAAGTTATTTTTTTTCATTCAGGCAATAAAATTATTCCCTTTTAAAAACTAATGAAATCAAACTTGGTTCTCATCTTCTGAGAATGTTTTGTCTGTCTTGCTAGGTCGTTAGATGACAAGAAAGAATTTTATGATTCTCTTCGCTGCCATCTAACGATTCTGTTTTTTCAATCTGTTGAGTTTGAGAGGCATGCAAGTTTAATAAAGTTGTTAGTTTAAATTGTCTTTGACATGTCAGTGGCAAATGAACTTATCATTGATCAGTGGTTGTATCATGAGAAATATTTAAGCTTGCCTATGACAACAAAGAAAATGGTGTATCTTTCTTCCATATCACAACCCCTCAAATCTTAGTAATGGTAGTAGAATATAATTCACAGAATAGCTGAGCGGGGACTCAAGGTAAGTTACAAACTAGCCAGTCCCATCCTCTTATCTCCTCATAGTTATTTCCTAGCCCCTACCACCCAAAATAGTTGCTTCCTTCTGCACAATGGTAGGGCTGAGCCTATACAGTACTGTATTGTAATGTCTGTATGCCATCATTGGCCAATAAGGTTCTGCTTGTTCCCAGAGGACAAATTAGAAGTTAGGCTTATGCAAAAGAATAAACACTATTTCTTACATTAAGAAAAGCAATATTCTGAAACCGGTGACAAAATGCTTCTGCTAACACACAAGTTGCTATGCTTCAGCAAAATTACTTTACAGAGGATATTTCACCAGGAATAGATTAACTAGAATTTATCAGCAAATTTAGTTCTGTTTATTGGACCTATAAGACCTTACACTTCGTGTAAGCAAGCAATTTGGTTACATTTTCCTCCACTTCTACTCAGGAACTATAAAAGGAAACATACCAAAACCCCAAAGTACAAATTTAAAATCCTATTATGAGTAAATTTCAAAAATTGTAACTGCTACTGGAATGAATTCTTGTCAACTTGGTAATACTTGGGTTTTGCATAGAATCTAGATATAATGGTACACAAAGTCCTTAACTTACAACCATTCATTTAGTGACCATTTGAAGTTACAGCAGCACTGAAAAAAGTAACCTAGGACCAGTCCTCACATGTATGTACTGTCGCAGTAATTCCCACAGTTGCATGATCAAAATTTGGGTGTTTGCAACCAACATATATTTACAAAGTTGCACTTTCTGGACCAAAATTGTGTGTGTGTACATGCATACATTAAAAAAATCCTCACCCTTATGGGTGGTCTGCTTCAATCTCAGATCCTCTGCTAGAGACTTGGGGAGTTTGTTCTACATAATATCTTAGCTGTTCCTAGTACTGCACTCTTTAGGACAGAGAGCTCTAATGTTGTTACTGGGATCTATTGGAGCCATTCTGCCAGCTTAGGAATGGCTAAGCACTCCTACCAACACTGGGACTACTTTGGCCTTTATTTTCTCCATCCTCTCAAATTCCTCCTTCAGGACCCAGTACTTCTCCAGCTTCTCATACACCTTCCTGATGTTGTCATTTGGCACTGTTACATCTATCACCACCGCAATCTTCTGGTCCTTGTCTACTATCAGTGTCTGATTGATTGGTTAGTGCCCATCTATCTGGATGTGAAAGTCCCACAGCATATTAGCCCTCTTATTCTCCAAAACTTTCAGTGGAATCTCCCATTTAGACTTGGGAGGGTCTAGCCCATGCACTATGCAGATGTTCCTGTACACAAGCTCAGCTACCTATTGTGCTATTCCATGTATGCTATTTCTGCCTGCATCTTACACTCTGGTGTTATGTGTTGGACTGTCTCTGAGACCTGTCTGCATAGTCTGTACCTCTGGTCCTGTCTAGTGTGGTAGACCCCTGCTTCTATGGATCTGGCATTTTATCCCTATTCTTGTGCTACTATGATCAGTATCTCAGGGCTGTCTTAATAAAAGACAACACCAGGCATCTGATGTAGTTGAATTCATTTCATGAAAATGTAGGCCGTAATCAGTAAAGTGTAAAGGTACCCAAGATTTTTGTTGTTGCTTTTCCTAAAAACAGCCATATCCCATAAATTGGCAAAAAAAACCACAACAGAATTCAGTCTGGGCCAGACTTAAAAGGGTTTTCTCTTCAGAAGTGGTCTTCCTGGAGATAAATACGGGTATGAATTAGGCAGAAATGTACTGCGGTGTAAAAGCACAGTTGAAAGTCAACACAAGGGCCCATTAAAATGAACACAAGAGCGACTCCTTGCAAAAAATGAAAAAAATAAATGTGGTTCTCAAAAAAGCCTGAGTTATATTTTTTATTACTTGAAGAGCACCCTGCTTAAATGAGGATTCCTGGTGATCTCACTAAAAAAAAAAAGGCTTTCTTAGCCTTGCTGTTTTACAGTACCGCCTCTTCACTTCCTTTGCTACATTTTTTGAGGCCTAGTCATGGAAGGCCTTTCCCAAAGGAAGCCAATTCTTTTCAAGTTTACTTGGTGCCAATTTTCCTGTCCCTTTAATCAATAAACACAACTGTTTGATGAAGTTGGATTAGGGCAGCCCGTCAGACAGACCTGTAGTATCTGGGAGAGAGAGAGAGAGTGAACAGGCGTTGGATAAGAAAACCTGATCCTTGAAAAGCCATTTGGAAGTAAAATGAAAGAACTTTTGCAATTCATTTTTGGAAGACTGCCCTGAAATCCTAGCAGTGTCTGCTAAGGAGGGGTAAGTTTAACTAAGGTCAGTCAAGCTCATTTTGCCTAGGTATGACCCTAAACTAGGGCAAGGTTGTTCAAATCTAATAAACAAGGACAGGATTACATGGTAAGAGGAATCCCCATCCCAGGTATTTGAACAATACAAATGTTAATTTATTTTTTTTAAAAAAATGAAGTATCTACTTAGCATTGTTGGAATATATAAATATGACTATTAGTTACGCAGCTGGTTAGAGCTCACACTCTGCAAACCGTACTGTAATCTCTGCCAAAGGAAAGGCATTCTGCCCATGCTCAAATGCCTCTTTTTTTTTTGGATCCCCGTGATCCTTGACGAAGCCGTTCCCCTCTGGAGCTAAACGTGGCATAGAATGAAACGCTGCGGTAAATAAAACGACCCTGAGAAATGCTTCTTTCTCCTGCAAAATCCATGCATTTGCAGTCAAGGAAGGAAAAAGACTCGCCGCCCACCCGCCCCGCAGCAAGCGAACCCAC